TAGCCCATCTTTCTCCCAACTGTCCTGAACTCACTCTGTAGAATAGGCTGGCCTCAATCTCACAGAGATCCCCCTGTCTTTGTCTCCTGAGTGCTGGCTGGGATTAACATGTCCAGTTTAGTCAGCTTTCTTGTACAACTCTGAACCATGACCCCACAGTGGGCTGGGCCCTCCTCCATCTACTAACAATGAATACAATTCCTCACAGACATGGCCATAGGCTAATTGGATCTGGGCACACCCTTTGTGCGGATGATTCTAGGTTATACCAAGTTAACAAGCCTCCGCTGCCTTCTTGGAATCCACAGCTGCCTCTACTCTCTTCACCGGAGCTTGCAGGGAGAATAGGACGTGGGTCCTGAGGAGGAGTGAGGTTGGTCTAGTTTAAGGTGGACCCACGTTTCCGAAACCCGTGGTTCCTTCCTAAACTGACGTCTCCAGACTCTGCCCCCAGAGAATGTGGTCAGGACTTTCGTCACTCTCATGCTATGTGATGACAGTTGCTAAATACAGCAGTGGAAGGGACTTGAGATCCACCTTGAATTGGACTAATTCTGGAATGAACTATAAAAATGTCATTCTAGGGCTGGAGAGATGGCTCAGAGGTTAAGAGCACTGACTGCTCTTCCAGAGGTCCTGAGTTCAATTCCCAGCAACCATCTGTAATGAGATCTGGTGCCCTCTTCTGGCCTGCAGGCATACAGACAGAACACTGTATATATAATAAGTAAATAAATTTTTTTAAAAAAAAGCAAAAACAAAACAACAACAAAAATCAAGCAAGCAAACAACCCAGTAAGTAAAGTGAAATGCAACAAAATAAAAAAACTATAAAAATGTCATTCTAAACACTATTGTGAATCTTGTCCCTTTGCATAAGTCCTTTAAATATTTGTGTGTGTGTGTGTGTGTGTGTGTGTGTGTGTGTGTGTGTGTGTGTGCGCGTGCGCATATGCCATGGCCCACATTTGGGATTGGTTATTGCCTTAACTGTGTGGGACCCAGGGGCTGAACTAAGGTAGCCAGTCAACATTGGCCGTGAGTACCCTTAATAGGTTGAGCCACCTCAATGATCCCAGATGTGCATGAATTCTTATAGGGAGGTTTAAGAGTATTTGATTATTTACTTACCTGTTCTTACGGTTTCTACTTTCTCTTGTGCTCTGAGTGGGTCTCTCGAGGTTTTGTTGCTATCAGGAGATGGTGTGTCCCGGAGGCCACAGGTTTCTCTTAACAGAAGAGACAGCTGCCGACAAACGCAAAGCAACAACGTTTTAAGGAGCTTTCCTTGGGCAGAGTTCAGGGCTTGTTTGGAAAAGCAAACAGATATTCAATAACTGAAGGGTCTGTGGTAATTCAGTTGAACATTTTGGTGTGGTGTAATGCTGGAGCTAATGGGAGAATGGTTGGTTGTGGAATCCAAGGTGAGAATGGAATGAACTTAGAGCTTTCGAGTGTCCCTGACTGACAGTGACCTTCCTCCTCCTCCCCCTCCTCCTTTTCCTTCTCCCCCTCCCCTTCCCCCCTCCTCCTTTTCTTCCTACTTTTGTCCATGGGATACCACGGCAGCTAGGCTCTGTAGCAGCGAAACTGGCTCAAGACACTGCCCACGGGTCAGATAATTGGGCACGCTGTGTGCTGAATTTTGAGTGAGCTTACCTTTGCACTTAGGGCACTGAACTTCAAAACTCTCCTTTATTCTGAAAAGATGGTGAGCCAGCAAAAGGCAATTTCACTCATTACCATAATAGTATCAGTAGCAGAATCAAATCATATGTAGTTGAGTCTCTGAAATTAATGTAAAATTGCTTCATGGGCTAGCCGGGCAGTACCTAATGGCTTCAATTGTCCTCATGGGAGGCCAAGTGCTTGGGGCCTTAATTTTGCCAGTGTAGATAGAGTGAAAAAAAATAATGTGAGATTGTTTAATACTACAGGTAAAACTGAGGGATTAGTTTACAAAGGACTACGGGAGGGCTTGACTAAAAGAGCTGAAACATCAGCTCTCACCTGTGCTCTAGTCTGTGCTGTCACAGTCACCTCTTTGTCATCGTAGTCTTCATAGACGGGCTGCATAGCAGGGTTAGTGTGTTTCAGCTGTGCTTGTCCCTTCAAAAAAGTACTTAACAGGGCATGGAGGACACCATGAAAGCAAGATCCTCTAGACCAGTGTGATCAAAGCTCATATGAACTCACAGAGGCTGAGCCAGCATGCATAGGGCCTGCACAGGTCTGCATCAGGTCCAAAGGACATATATATATATATATATATATATGTGTGTGTGTGTGTGTGTGTGTGTGTGTGTGTGTGTGTGTGTATGTATGTATGTATATATTTGTTTTTTGAGACAGGGTTTCTCTGTGTTGTTTTGGAGGCTGTCCTGGAACTTGCTCTGTAGACCAGGCTGGCCTCGAACTCATAGAGATTCCTCCTGCCTCTGCCTCCCGAGTGCTGGAATTAAAGGTGTGCACTACCAACACCTGGCCCTTTGGGTGTATATTATGGCTTCTGTCTAGTGTTTTTATAGGAATTCCGAGTGTGTGAACTAGTGGGTCTTCAATTCTTATGCCTTCTCTTGGGCTCTTTTCCTTCTGCTCGTCTTGTCCAACTCTAGTGTGTCAGTTTTTGTTTTATCTTATTATATTTTACTTTGCTATCCCTTAGAAGATAATGAGAGACAGAAAGGGAGTGAATCCAGGTGGGAGGAGAGGTGTGTGTGGGGAGAGTGAGAGAAATAGAGGGAAGAGAACCGTAACCAGGATATATTATGTGAGAAAAATATATTTTCAATAAAAAACCTTAACCCAGAGGACATGCATACACAGTCCTTGTGAAGGCCCTGGAAAATAAGGGAAGATGGAAAGAACCATAGCATTTCTTGCCAACATTTAAAAACTTACATTTAATTATACAAATGATGTAAATATGGGACTCTCTCTCCATGTTCAATACTGGAGTCCCTCCTGGAGGTCATTATTACTGTGAGGCATCTACATTTTGTTCACCTTGATTTGTCTTAGATGTATTTCCAGGAAATACACATAGTAGTATTTTTTCCTTTTCCTTTTGGGTTATGAACAAAAGCATCAGGTTGTGGCTCTACACATTCTTGTTTTTGTTCAGTGATGTCTCTTGGAGACAATATAATGCTCCCATGTATAGATATGTCTATTTCCCATTTTTGGGGGGGCATTCTACAGTTCAGGAAGGCCTTTGTTTAATAAATGTTATGTGAATAGGAGTTTACATGGCTTTAATAACCTCTCTCCCTTTTGTTACTATTATAGATCACAGAATAACAATAATCTTTATGCATGTGTCTGCACATGCATGAATGGTTTTTAAGGGGAAATAGCTGGAGAGTTGAGCTGTTGGGTCAGACGGTGTTTGTTTGCTTTGGTAGTAAGGAGATTGACACCAAGGTTTTGTCCATGCTTGGCAAGTTCTCTTCATGGAGTACTTTGCACCCATAGTCCTGTTTTTTTTTTTCCTTTGGTTTTTACGAGACAGGGTTTCTCTGTTTTGGAGGCTGTCGGTCCAGCCTGGCCTCGAACTCACAGAGATCTGCCTGCCTCTGCCTCCCAAGTGCTGGGATTAAAGGCGTGCGCCACCAACGCTCGGCAGCCATAGTCCTGTTTTAAGTAAAACACATCGTTGTTCACCCATGAACACATCAAGATGTTAATACTTTGGTACAGATCTGCTTTAGACGAGGACCTGCTAAGATGAACAGCTTCCTATGGCTCTTAATATTGCAGTCAGAGGATACATTGCATTTTTAGTAGAAGAAGTTATAAAACAATGGGATAATTACAGCACTTCTTAAGTGAGATAATTACATCACATCCTAAGTGAACTATGTTTTGTTGTAGAAAGAGATCACAGCCGTTGGAGAAGTTATTTTCCTAATAAAATTTTTATTAAATGGTTCGTCATGCACACTAAGGTTGAAACCTCTCCCGAGTACACGTCAGTCTCTCATGGCCTCGTGTGGGAAGAGCTGCTGTAGTGGCGAGGGTCAGGGGCCTTCTGCATCCTGAATGAGGCTGGTAGTATGTGACCCTGCCCTAAGAGCTTCACTCAGCCTCTTCTGCTCTCTCCCCAGGAGTGTTTAGCCACCTTGGTTGTGTTGTGACTGCAAACACAGGTTGTCACTAAGTGTCCTGGAAGTTTTGTTTGTCATCTTGTGCCTTGCCATACACAGGTCATGGCAATGTCTGTTGTCCACTTCAGGGCTGCTTGATGACTTGTGTGTGCACAAATGTGTTAAGCACCAGTGGTTGGCGGTTGAGTAGTCTCCTCCTCCTCCTTCTCCTCCTCTTTCTTCTTCTCCTTCTCTTCTCCTCCTCCTCTTCTTCCTACTTCCTCTTCTTGTTTTGATTTGGGCTTTTTGAGATAGGATCTCATGTAGCCCAGGCTGGCCTTCAATCTGCTAAGTGGTCAATGTTAACCTTAAAGTCCTGATCCTGTTGCCTTCAACTCCCAAGTGCTACCATGCCTGGCTGTCCACCCTCCTCCTCCCCGCTCCCTTCCTTCCTTCTTTCCTTCCCTCCTTTCTTTCATTGGGGAGCCAATCCAAGGCATCACTCATGGGCTCTACTACTGAGCAGCCATATCATTTTCTCAGATTAATAGAAGATCTATTTTTTTTGTAAGACATAGGGTTTTCTATGTTGTACAGGTTGGCCTTACACTCTCAATCCTCCTGCCTCAGCTTCTTGAGTGTTAGGATTATAGGTGTTGGCTGTGGTACCCAGCTCCAAAGACCAATCCTTAAATGCCTTCTCTCTTCCATGGCCTCAGGAGTGTGTGCATCATTATTTCTTGGGCTGCCTCTCGCTTCCTTTTCAACTTTGAGAACAAGACACAGTACCGTTAGCATTTTCTTTACGTTTGATATACAAAGGAAACTTCCACGTGAGATATCTTTGTCCAACCTCTAATAACAGACTGTTTAACACTTCTTTTAATGCTTTGTCTTTTGGGGAAACTCCACCAGGAAACTGCCAATCATCCCATGGAATTCCCAGTCACCCGGGAACAGCTGAACCACTACCGGAATGTGGCTGAAAATGTTCAAAGTGAACTTGCAGCGACTTTGGTCAAATTTGAATGTGCTCAGTCTGAGGTGAGACACGGTACACATTTCATGACTCAGAAGGACATCCTTTTAGCCTTTTATACAATGAAATGGGTGGCTGAGGATTAGAAACAGGATAGTAAGCAAGGGATTTTGACCTATTGACAAAGCTTAGACTTACTTTCTTGTGTGCTTAGCACTTCCAACTCCATGCTGGCTTTCAGATTTAAGTGAAGTCTGCATAACCTGGGGACACCTGAGGATTTTGGGTTAAAGTTGCATTTAATCTCAGCACTTGGGGAGGCAGAGGCAGGCAGATCTCTGTGAGTTCGAGACCAGCCTGGTCTACAAGAGCTAGTTCCAGGACAGCCTCCAAAGCCACAGAGAAACCCTGTCTGGAAAAACCAATCAACCAACCAAACAAACAAACAAAAAAAGTTGCACAGACCTTGGGGAGCTTGAAGCCTCCTTCAGAATGTCTTCCTTTAATATGGATTGCTTGCATTCCAGAGCTCTTAGAAGGTGTTCTGGTTGTCTGGGCAAATTCTAAGATCGACTAGTATAGCAGAGTTTCAGAGCTTCTCTGGGCTCTCAGTGCAGTGGCTGAGAGGGGTCTAGACTGGCCTGGGGGGTAACTAGCAGTGTCAGTGAGGGTGCCAGGGACCAAATGAGAGATGAACTTGTAAATATGTGTGTTACTCTGCATGCATGCGCATTCCCAGTTCCTAAGAACCACATGTGTGTGAAGATGGTCCCACAGAAGAGACTGGACATTCTCGGTCAGTGGGATGCAAGCATCCTCCAGCATTTTGATGCTTCAGAACTCATGGAAGTCCAGAAGTTCCCTTTGTATAATTTCTCTTTGTTGCCGTATTTCCCCCCAGGAATCTGAGTATTCTTTTTCTTTACCACCTACAATTGTGGTCTAGAAGGCAAATGGGAGAATTACAGTGATATCCTCAACATCTGGATTTACTTGAGAAACAGTTGTGGCTGTGAAATCACAGTGTGGTGTGGAGGTTCCCCAAATCATTGTAAATCAGCACTAAATGCAGCAGTACTGATAGAGTAAATGGGTCCCACTGTGAAAGATGTTATTGCTTTTTGTAGTATCCGACACAAATGTTTCCTAAATAGTATGAAATCAACTTAAGACATTACTCAATTACTATTATTATTATTATTATTTGCCTGTGTGCTGGTCATTGAATTCATGGTCTCTGTCTCTCACACACGATGCAATTAATTACTCTTCCATGAGGCTATCACTACAATGTTCAACTGATTTCTTAAACAGATAGTCTATGACTATTAGGAATTTATCCAGCCATAATTTTCAATTTGCTAACACAGATCCAAATTCAAGAAAGAGCAAGTGAAATTGGACTAGGTCATGAATGAAAGGCAACATTTTAAATGACAACTTTGGCTCTTTTGGTAGGTACCTCCAGTGGCACATGTTAAATCCCTCTGTCTCTTCCCCTCACCCCTGTCTCTTCACATTAGCTTCGAGACCTCCGCTCCAAGCTTCTCTCTAAGGAAGTTTGCTACCAAGAGCTGAAGGCTGAAGTGGAGAGCTACAAAGAAAGCAGTGCCAGAAAATCATCTCTCCTCGTCTCTCTGAGGGGCAGAGTGCAGGAGCTCCAAGAGGAATCGGCAGCGCTTTCCGCTTCTAAAATCAGAGCGGAGACCTCTGCTCACACCATGATGAAGGAGAACCAGGAAGTAACTAGGAAAGCCCTGGAATTGGATGAGAAATTGCAGTAAGAAAGTTGGAAATGTTTCCCCGTTTGTTAGTGGCTGTACTAGCTTCAGATCTGTCTGCTTCATCAGTGAACTTTGAATGTTGTACATTATTTTTCCTTGAAACTCAAACTGAAAAAAACAGTTACAGACCTCAGATATCTCTGTAGTCTTAGAGACTTTGCTCAAGTTCAAATGTTGTCAAGTATTTCAACAAACAGCACTGTGTTATGCATGCTTAGCAGCTGTTGGTGAGAGTTGCCAAAGCTTATTACATGTGTAGTGTGAGATTTCCCTTAAGTAGAAACTTAACTATGGAGTACCAGGGAAGCTCACAGGAGTGTATTTAGAAGATAGTTAGAAAAATGTGAGGAAGCCAGATATCCCCAATTAGGTTTTATTGGCATTTTTATACAGAGAATTCACGAAACTCAGGTTTTCACACTTCGTTCAGTCAAAATTGGGAAATACTTGCTTCTAAAATATATTTTAAAATTCTATATATGACTTTTTTTTTAAGACAAGAGCCTCTTGATGTAGTCCTGGCTATCCTGGAACTGTAGACCAGGCTAGCCTCAAACTCACAGAGATCTGCCTACCTCTTATCTCTCAAGCGTTGGTCTTACAGTAATACATTTTGGGGACCTGGTGTTGCTATGTAGCATTGAAGTTAAGATTGTTCTGTCTCTGCCTCCTGAGTGCTAGGATTACAGTCACGCTGTTCCACACCAGCTTTAAATGTCACTGTATTCCATCTTATAAAAATGAACCAGCACTCCCATCCCCTGTTCTCCTCCACCTATCATCAAACTTCTCTTTTGTTTGTTTGCTCTCCCTGTGTAGCCCGGGCTGGTGTCAAGTTTACAATCCTCCTTCCCTTTCCTCCCGAGAGCTTGGATTACAGGGCTTCTTAAATATTTTTGTGAATCCGTGTCTCCAGTTTATCTCTTTTCTCTTTTATTTGCTCCGCTGAAATTCCTTGGTATGATCCCAGGCATGGTTCCCGTTGGCTGGCCTCTGCAGCATCAGTTACAACTGGTCTGTGAACCACCTTTTTCTCTTGGCTTCCAGAACATTACACACAACTAGTTTATATCCTACTTTTCTCTTTTTGTGTTTTTTCTCCTCTTCTTGGCTTCCAAATATTGAGGTACCTTTCTTCTTATTTCTAAGTTATTCAATCCCCTGTCTTCTAAGAATGATCTAGATGCAGGTGTCTAGCTTGAATTTCCTTTCAAAACAAGGCACACAAACCTGGGCATCTTCATGTAGATGCCCTGCAGACATTTCAGTTTTATGTGTTTGAAACTGGGATCTGAGGTTCCCACCATCTTTCTGTACTTGTTGATTTGGTGATAATTTCATTCTTCTAGCCATCAGGTAAAACATCTTGGTATCACCCATGGTTTACAACTATCTTAAAATTAATAAAACTAAGTATTAACTATTTCACATTTGTTACCTGGACTTATTGTAGCAAGTATGTACTACCCCAGGACTCCACTCCTTGTACCGGTTTATTCTTTGAGTAATTTAGTGTGATATTACAGTATAATAGATCAGGTGCCTTAACCAACAGAAATTTATTACTCATAGTTCTGAACACTGGGAAGTTCAAGATTGAGGTAAGGGCTTACTTCCTGTTTGAAGATGAATTTCTCTCTCTCTTTTTCTCCTATGGTAGAGAAAGAAAGAGAGATAGAGTCTTTCTTGTCTCCTTCCCAAATATACTAATCTTATTCATAGGGATTCATATCCATGACTTAAGAATTATCTCCTGGAAGCCTCAGGTATACATGCTATCTCAATTGAGGCTGAGTAATTCAACATACGGGGCACAGAAACATCCAGTTCAAAAATGACTTTCTCTTTTCTGTTGGTGTGCAGCCCCAGCCAGAAGGATCCTGTTAAAGTATACATTAGACCATGTCAGTCCTCAGCTAAGAGTTCTCCAGTGACTTCTCTTCTTACTTAGGGTAAAGACCTGTATTTTTACAACCAAAAGAACTCACACTAACCTGCTGATGGTACCCTTCTCTGCCTTAGTTTTTCAGTTCTAGACCACTGGCTTCTTTGCTGCTTTTTGAATTGGAAGACATGATCCTACCTCCGGCCTTTTGCAACTGCTCATCCGCTTGTCTTCAGAGTTCTTCCCCAGATGGCATGGCTATGTTTGATCTAGGCACTCACTTGGAAGGACCTGTGCATTGAATCCTTCCATGAATGCTATGTCTAAAAACTTCTTACTCCCTTTTCTGTTTGCTTATTTTCCTTCAATCTTTATTTAACAATACCATTTATTTTACATGGATTAATATTTTGATCAGTCTTTCCAACTAGAACATAAGCTCCATGGGGCAAGGATTTTTTTCTATTTTTCTTACATCTGCATCTTTCACACCCTTGATAGGATCCAGTGCACAGTTATGCTCATTAATTATCTACTAGATAAATGTGTAATACAAATATTATATACTTACTGTAAAAACACCCTTTCAATGCAGATATTCTCAAGAAGAAATTAAAATTACTCAAAACCTTTGCTTATAGGAAATCTTATTAATATTTTTGAATAGACATTTAGATGATTTTGCCCAAATTTCACTGTGCAATATAGTACTTCTACTGACTAACACATTGTTGGTGTTTTAAAAAGTTCATCATTTTTTAAAAAAGGTTTATTTGTTTTATTATATATGCAGTGTTTTGCCCGCATGTATGCCTGCACACCTGAAGGTACCATATCTCACCGCAGATGGTTGTGAGCCACAATGTGGTTTCAGGGAATTGAACTCAGGACTAGTTCATCATCTTGATTGTATTTTATATTTCATTTCTAAATTTGCTTAATGGGGAGCCAGAGAGATGGCTCAGCAGTTAGGAACACTTCTAACTCTTTCAGGGAAGGTGGTTGGTTCTCAGCATCCATGTGGCAGCTCAAAATTTTCTGTTTATAACTTCAGTTCCGGAGGATCCAGTGCCCACTTCTGACCTTGATAGGCACCAGGAACACATGTAGTGCACACACACACATATAAGTAGGCAAACACTCATGCACATAAAATATAAATAAATAAATCTTAAAAAGCTTCACTTGCTCAAAACTAGTTTCTTGGTCATTTCCTATAAATACTTAGATTGGTTTCATTAAAAAGTTTACTATAAAACAACCTGAACAGGACACCTGCACTTATATTTTTACATTTATGTGATTCTTTCTCTTAGCATAGACTCTTGGAACTTTGTTGGCTCAGTTAAGAAGCAAATAGATATGGACATAGTTTAGTGACCTTTGCGGTAGAGCCGTGATGTTGAAGTCTTGTGGCCAATGTGTGGGGGTCACATAGGCAGATCTGTCAGAGCCATGGCAGGCATTGGTGCTTTTCACATGTGCAGAAACTATAGACAGACCAACACTAGTCATTTATTAATACACTTTCCTAAATGGAAATATGATATGCAATTACGTGCTTTGTTAATCTTTGAATAGAGTCAAAAATTTTGCAGTAAACACTTAACGTGGGAAAAAGAAAGCAATAATCATGATTATTGTCTAGAATACTGAAAAATGATACCAAATTACCGAGATGATTCTAATTTGCCTTAAGAGTATGCCTGTTCTTTTGATGATATTTCTGAACATTTAAAGCACCAGGGATGCACTGTGCTATTTCAACAAACCTGTTGGAGACCAAATACCTGGCATTTCATTGACTCGTCATCTCCATACATTGCTAATATGCTAAAGATTCTCTCTGTGTGGATGCTCATGTTGCTCTTCGCTGGTGCTTGAATATTTTTTCTCCACATGTGGAGTATCCCCTGCTTCAGATATTATCTTTGTATGTATGTATGTATGTATGTATGTATGTATGTATGTATGTGTGTATATGTATATGTGTCTATCAGTTATACTTGGCTATGAACCATACAGATCACCACATATTGTCTAAAAAAAAAATGAAACTTGGGCTTCTAGCATTAATACAGCGCCATTCTCCTCCCCTTGGAGGCCCCAGGAGAAGCCTCAGGGCTTGTGAATTGTGACCATACACATGGCAGAGGGTCTGTGTATATGAACTAGTGCTTGCCTTCATGCCTGCAGATCAGTTGGAAAGAGGAGTCAAAGACTCTTCTGTCCAGATACCATGAAGATTTTTATCTTCTACAGACTGTAGGTGTGCTGAAGTTGCGTTGGCATTTCTCATTTCCTGGCAGGGGTTAGCTGCCAATCATTGGTACTGGGGCACTATTACATATTGAAAGTGGTAGTTACTCCCCATGGAGAGCTTTAGTTCTGATTTGGTTTGATGAATGTTGTCTGCTATAGCGTTAAATCTTGATTGATTTATTATTTTACTGATAGAAACTGCATGAAGGAAAATGAGGAGTCTAAGAAACAAGGCTTAGAGAATCTCCGGAGACATGAGGAATTTCGAACTGAGCTTTGTGACTGCTTGAGTCTAGACAAGAAGCAAGAGGAAGCATCTGATGAAGATTTGATTTTAAAGGTATTTGCATGCAGGTTAAAGGCACGATATGCACAGGGGCGTGTAGGCAGAGTTTTCCTGTCCTGCAGTCACAAGTCCCTCAAAGAATTACTATTAATTACAGATGCTTGCTCAACTGTTCAGAGGATCTTGCCTCATTCCTCTTCTCTTGGGTACTATGCATATCTTTTAATAATTTCTTTGATTTCCATTTCACCAGTGTTCACTGGATGTATATTACATGCTGGGCACTGCTCTGGGGATGTGGCCGTGAACGACACAAGACTAATTTTACACCCTTGGGGAAACACCCTTCTTTCATTGTTATGGGGTAGAGATGGTGCCAAGGTGAAACACTGTATTGTCACCCTATCTGGTGCAGTGTTCTGTGAGGTAAATCACCTTGTGATGCAGGGCTAGGGAATGAAGGATGCCAGAGGTATGGGAGGCTGGCTCAGGCAGGCTGGGGCACTACCTCAGAGCTGTGATATAGACCGATGTTGGGAAGTGAACTTGGGAACGTGAGGAAGAGTTCAAGAGCGAGGAACAGAGCTGAGTTGTGAAATGGTACCCAGTGCAGGGACTGAGAGATGGGTCACTTCCATCGGTGGTCAAAGCACAAGTGTTGGCCATGCTATCCGGGGTTTCAAGTCCTGTTACAGGCATTGTCGTGGCCCTAACAGGTGAGCTTATCTATATGGCTAGGGAGGCTTACAAACGCTTCCAGGGAACTTTTCTTAATACACAGCAGGGAAAGCAAAAAGCCCTGTGAATGCCAACCCCCATGGCAACCATTTTTAGCACGCTTCGTAGGATGCTTACAATTACTTAGAAAGTATTCATGAATACAACTGCTCGGTTTTCTCTGCGATGCCAGCACCTTGCACACAGTAGGTGCAATTGGATGCAGGCTGAAGGCAGCTCTCTTGGTCAGTGGCCCCTGCCGTCCCCTTAACCTATCATCTCACCTCAGGCATGCTCACTAAGGCAAAGCTCACTCACCTCCCATCATCCTTGCCTTGTGGCCTCCTTTGACTGCTGGGTCTGCAAATAGTGGCATTTAGAGGCTGCCTTTGAAAATGTGACTGTATCTGTTGTTTTCATTGTTTTGTATACATTGTGAGTTGCTTGGAAAAGTGGGTGGAATTGTCCCCCCCTTTTTTAGCACAGCTGTAATTTCTTTCTCTTCAGCTTAGAGAGCTGTGTAAGGAAAACACATTCCTGAAAGGACAAATCGTGACTCTTGAAGAGACTATAAATGTCCATGAGATGGAAGCAAAAGCTAACAGAGAAACGATCTCGAGGCTGGCGGCAGAAGTCAGCCGGGAGCAGAGAAGAGCTGCCTCCTGGGCCGTGGAGAAAGACAAGCTGAGTCAGGTACAGTGTGCTGGAGGTGCTCCAGTGTGCTGGAGATGCTCCTGGGCCGGGCTCGCAGGTTCGCAGGTACAGTGTGCTGGAGGTGCTCCAGTGTGCTGGAGGTGCTCCTGTGCGGGGCTCCCAGGTACAGTGTGCTGGCGGTGCTCCTGTGCGGGGCTCCCAGGTACAGTGTGCTGGAGGTGATCCTGTGCCGGGCTCCCAGGTACAGTGTGCTGGAGGTGCTCCTGTGTGCTGGAGGTGCTCCTGTGCCGGGCTCGCAGGTACAGTGTGCTGGAGGTGCTCCTGTGCCGGGCTCCCAGGTTCAGTGTGCTGGAGGTGCTCCTGTGCCGGGCTCCCAGGTTCAGTGTGCTGGAGGTGCTCCTGTGCCGGGCTCGCAGAGCGGAAACGGAGGAGCAGATGCCCATGAATACCCTGAAACTATGGGCTGTTCTCTGCATGTGGGGGATAAGTGATCCCACTAGGACGTTTGATATTTAACATGTACTTTTCATACATACTAGCCACCTATTTCTAGCTGCGAAAAAGAAATATAAAGTGCTTTAAGGCATTTGTAGACAGGATGGTTTACTTTGATTAGATAATGACGATGTTTTTCATATTCAAGTCTTACATTTTGAGCAAGTATGTAATAAGTTTAAAAGGTGCAAACTTCTAATTGTACAAAAGATATTAAACGATGATTCCTCCCTCTCCTCCCTCTTCCTAGGTAGCCACTTATCGTCTGGGGAAACTTCTTACAATTCCTTTTTACTTAATTAATTGTGTGTGTGCCTGTGTATGCACAGGTGGGGGCAGAGGTTGATGATGGGGTTAACAATGGATGTCTTGTTTCATCTCGCCCCTTACTTTTTGAAACAGGGTTTCCACTGAAACAGGAGCTCACAAACTGGCCAAACTAGGTGGCCAGAAGGCTCTCAGATTCCTGCCTTCACCTTTGGGATTACGGTGGTGTGTTCTCTCCTTCTCCCCCTTTCTCTCCTTCTCCCCCTTTCTCTCCTTCTCCCCCTTTCTCTCCTTCTTCCCCTTTCTCTCCTTCTCCCCCTTTCTCCCTCTCCCGCCCCTTCCCCCTCCACACTTGGCTTCTTGCACAGATATTGGGGATCCAGATGTAAATTCTCTTGTTTATGCACAAATAATCTGAGTCATCCTAACCTTAAAAGACACATACACACACACACACACACACACACACACACACCACACACACACAAAACCCCACACATTTAAAAATATATATCCTTCTGGAACTATTCATTCTACATGTATATGTATAATATACATAAAAGATATGCCTTCTGTGTATCACATATGTATGTTTATTTTTAGTAAAAGGACAGTGCACCACACACTGTTTTCAGTAAGTTCTTTCTGAAGAATTGCCATCAGTTGCTTCTCTTTGCTGTGATAGAATGCTCTAACAAAGCAATTCTGGGGAGAAAGGCTTCATTTTGGCTTACAGTTCCAGAGGGGATATGCCCCATGATGGCAGAGAAAGCATGGTAACAGGAGTGAGAGGCCACCCAATGGTCAGGAAGAGGACTGATCATACTTCATCCACACACAGGAAGCAGAAAGAGAGAAACAGGAAGTAGGGTAAAACCTCAAATCCCACCCCCAGTGGCACACTTCCTCCAGAAGGGCTCTTCCTCCTACAGGTTCCAGAACCTCCCAACAGCACCACCAACTGGTGGTGTTCAAACACACCAGCCTATGAGGGGCATTTCCCATTGAATCCACAACAATCCTATATAATTTTTCATGTGTCATCTGTCATATAAAACAAAATCCTAGAAGACTTGATGGATCCAAGTATACGGATACAGTAATTCTGAGAGGTGTCAACCAAAGGAAATGGCTCATGATTATAAACTTTTATTTATGCAATGAATAACTTGATCTTCTCCAACTAATCAGAACTTGTTTGAGTGTGAAAATAAATACTGTATGTTTAGCACTGTGTAATCTTTTAATTATGTTCTAAGTTATGTGATGAAATAACTCATTATTGGATTAATAATAACCATTCACTTTCAAAAGGTAAAGTAAGCCAGTTCAGCCAGCTAAGGAAAGTCACAGACTGGGATTTTGTGGCTAGGTAGTGACTGGGTGTCCCAGACAGGCTCCATGAGGGAGGAAGGCCCATTGGTCTCCAGGTTGAGAAGAATGACGTGGAGTTGGTGTGTGAAGGGGTATCTTCTTTACATCTTCCTTATCTGTGACAACATCCCTGGGTCTGACAGTGATCTGAAGTAATGATGGCTTTTAGTTATTCCACAGTAATGGTAATTTCTTCTTTTTTTCTTTTTTCTTTTTGATTTTCACATTTTTATTGGGGGAGCAACAGGGAGGTATTCCATCAGGAGTATTCACAGGTTCTTCAGCCGTTCCAGGCTTTGGCCTGAGGGTCCTGGGTGTGGCTGGGCACATTGGGCATGTTCCCATTATCTCGAACAGGTACTGGGTAGTTGTAGGGTATGGTCTTATTGATCATGCTGGCATACTTGGTGTAGGGGCTGAGTACAGGCATAATTATAGGGAGGCCCCAGACTGAGAAAGACACCACCAGCACCGGATGCTCTGCCCAGGCATTCTTGAGGAAGGCAGTGAGTCTCGTAGCCATCTTGTTATTGTAGGTGACCATGATGGTAATTTCTAATTATTTCCCGTTATCTTCATGAACAAATCCTCTTACCATTGGCTTTCCTCCCCCGGCACTCCAGTGCTGGAGGAAAGCAAAGACTGTCATTGTCATCAACTTCTTGTCTTGAACAGCTTGTGCTGCTAGAACAAAATGTCACGGGCTCGGCTGGGGACCCAGTACAGGGAGAACATGTGAGTCTAACTGCGCCAGGTCTCGGGTTGGATTCCCCGTACTACAGAAGACTATAGGAAAATGAGACTTAAAAAATCTAGAGTGTGTGGCTTAAACAACAGTAAGCTGGAAATGCAAGGTCAGTTGCTGGCATGGCTGAGTTCTGCCGAGGTCCTCTTCTATGCTTATCAATGTAGGTTTTTTTTTTTTTCCTGTGCCTCACTTGGCAGAGGGAGAGGGAAGAGCAGGGGACAAGGTGGAGGGAAGGAAAGAGGAAGAGAAAGAGGGAGAAGGCAAGGAGGGAGGTAGGAAGGGAGAGAGATAGATGGCTCGATAGATGGGTAGACAAGCAGACAGATAGGTATTGGTCTAGCATTTGCTAATCGAGTTGGCCTCAAATGTATAGCAATTGTACTGCCTTAGCTTTCCAAAGGCTAGGGTTATAGGCATATGCCACTACACCTGACTCTAATCTCTTTTGTGTAAGAATAGATTTTTTTTCCTTTTCCAGTTGCCTGAGATATCTGTGGGGTAACAATTATGAGGTCAATTTTTTTTTTTTTTGGTTTTTCAAGACAGGGTTTCTCGTATTGTTTTGGAGGCTGTCCTGGAACTCGCTCTGTACACCAGGCTGGCCTCTAACTCACAGAGATCCACCTGCGTCTGCCTCCCGGGTGCTGGGATTAAAGGCATGCGCCATCAACGCCCAGCTAATTCTTGCTTTTTGTACTGGCAATTGAACCTAGGGCCTCATGCATGTTAGGCAACTGGTCTACCATGAAGCTGTATTCTTATCGCATTTTTCCGGATGTTAGCATCCATCACATCTTGCCTTGATTAACTTGTCCCCTCAGAGGTGGCAAAGTGGTAATTTGTACATTTCTAATTCCTCCTAGATCAGCTGCCAGCAAGCTCTCCCTCCCCTTTCCCTCTCCCTCTCTCACTTGCTCTCTTGTTTTTCTTAAAAGATCCGTAATTCAGAACAAAGCTATGAACGCATGAGTGTTCAGCTGCTACAATTCTATAAAAATGGCTTCTTTTTCATTCTTGCACATTAATCTTTATTGTCTAGCAGTCAGTTTTTTTTCATGGTGTTCCCAGTTCTCTGAGCCTGTGCATCTGAATGTCCTTTGAGACGGCCCTTGTGCTTGTTCAACGCTTCCTGACTTTCCGCACCAAGGCAATATCCTAGGCTTACTGGAAACTTTCAGGTTACCAGCTCAATAAGCCTCTCAGTTCCCCAGAGAACTGAGGTTCTACTTGTCAAGGAGTGGTGCTTAGGGGCCATACTTTATCCTGCAGGCACGCATACTTCCTATACATTTACCATACCACAGTGACAGTGCTGTTTGCTCAGTGAGATTGTATGGTTTGTTCTAGTCCGTACAGTTATTATGTGGCAAGGCTGGGACCCGAACCCACATCTCCACAGAGCTCTGGTTCTATCAATCATTCCCTTTGCATGGCAGCCAGAGCATCGTTCTATGTATAAGTGTGTTGGTGGGGACTATTGATTAGTGAAGTGCGATAATAGACCGCCATGCAATTTCCTTAGTGAATATTAACTTTCACAAAGTGTCTCTGGACATTAGCAGGAAATGAGTAAGAAAGCGTGTCATACTACTAACTGAGACAGGAAAACAGAACCCAGTTCCCCGTCTTATATAAGTGTCTTTACTTGGGAATGACTCTGGAAACTCATGTACTTTGGCTCCAGGATCCCGCCAGCCTCATAAAAATTGTAAAATGAAAATATGGGCAATAAAAACATGAGGGCTTTAATCAAATGCTCATTCATGGAACTGTTACTCTGATGATTTACCATGAAAATCCCTGCCCAGTGCTTTTACTGACATGTTAACGGCCTCAGAAAGCCTCCAACTGCTTTGCAGAGCTCGGGTTTTGAAGCAGGAAACTTCATTTTATTTGGAAACTCCAGATGTACGGAACAGACTGAAGGAGCCGCACAGATGGGGTGCTGTGTCTACAAAAATCTGACTTTATCGCTTTGCCTAAAGACTCTATTAAAAGCCAAGTGTGGTGGCACACTTTTATTTTCAGCATTCCGGAGGCAGAGACAGGGGAATCTCTGTGAGTTAGTGGCCAGTCTGGTCTACATGTTAGGACCCTGTCTCCAAGGGAAAAAAATCCAGGTGATTTATCATGTGTGGTGAATATATCATCTGGG